ATCTCAGACGGCTCGTGATTGCTTTGGCTCGTCAGCCCCTGATGCTGCACCTCCCCCTCCGCATCCTCGTCCCTCAAGGGGCCTTGGGACACACACACACAGAAATACGCACCAAAAACAGGATTCCCAATAGTTTCCCATAGTTTCTGGGTTTTTGCCTTCCCTCCCAAATTCCCCCTATTTTTAGATATCTTCCTGGGAGCCGACGATGCATTGTGTCTGTGTGTGTTTCCCCGTCCTGAGAACCGTGCAGCGGCGCTCTGCCGTCGGAGAACCGGAGAGCGAGGCCAAGAGGATCCCCGTCCACCTGGACGGGCCGCTCACATACACGGCACTTCCACCCCTGCCTACCTACCAGATCACCCCAACACAACCCGAAGACCCGAATTTCGGGTTGGGGGGGTAAGGGTTCCACACGTGTTTTTGTTCGACGTTTCCCGACCCCCCCCCCACTGGAAATCGAGGGTAAATCTGAGCCTTCGGGTTGGGTTGGGGTGGTTTGGTGGGTGGTGAACCCCCACGTCCAGCTGCGAACTCCCTGGCGCAGGCAGACTTACCCTAGATGGTTCTCGGCTGCAGTTCGCGACTCGACATTGTGGGCGGGGGGAGGCCATTCGTAGCAGTGTTCGTCACTGTTGAGAGGGGAGTACTTTCATCTTCCATGCCGTCTACGACGGCGTCGAGGAGCCTTCGGAGGGCTAAGTTTGTTGCTCTCCAGCTCCTCTCTGCCTCGCCCTTCCTGTCCCCCGGCGCCCGCCGCCCCATACCCGACGTCGTCATGTGCACGACAAGTGCGGCGGCTTCATGGAGGTGGGGGGGAGGAAGAGGGAGGAAGGCACGCTCAATCAGATGGAGAGCTCTAGACTCTCTGATCTCTTGTTCTCGTGTGAAGTTCTCCCTGGGTTCAGGTCCTTGGGGAAATTGAGCCCGCTTTAAAACAGGGCTAGGATCTGGATAAATCGCTCCAGAGCGCTCCGGAGCGCTCTCAGAGCGTTCCGGAACGCTCTGGAGCGGCCGCGGCGCCCAATACATCCTCCAAACCCGCCGATTCTCAAAGATTTCGAGTTATCCCGATCCGATTTTGTCCCGATCTTCGCGTCGTCTTACGCTTAGCGGGCGCCCTGGGCTGTGGCGCCCATCGAAGCCTCACCCCCCTGACGACTGCTCGCGCGCGGACACTCACGCGGACCGCCGGCCCGATCCGACCCTCCTCCTCCCTCCTCCTCCTCCTCCTCCTCCTCCTCCTCCTCCTCCTCCTCCTCCTCCTCCTCCTCCTCGGGGCACAAGGAGGAGGAGCAGGAGGAAGGACTGGTGTAAACGCAAGACGCTTCCACGATGTTTCACGAACCTCTCCCTTCAAATTCCCTCTTCATAGGTCCTCGCTAGAACGTATTTTCATGGCGGGAAATGCCCCATTGAAAGGCAACCGTCTGAGAATACCCAGTTTCGTCAAAACACAATTCCTGGGACTCCAACGCTGCGAATCAACGTGACTGTCGCGTCCTGACAACTCCAAACCATGCCAAACACACAATTCCTGGGACTTCAGCGCAGCAAGTCAACGCGACTGTTGCGTCCTGGCCATCCTAAATCGGGTCAGAACGCACTTTCTGGGACATAGGCACCGTGAATCAACGTGACTTTCGCGCCCTGACAACCCTTAATCGTGTCAGGGCACCAGCCCTGGGACTTCAGCCGTACGACCCCCTGAAAATGCTGCAATAGCTAAAAAGAGGAATGCGCGCGATGCTAAGGCGAAAGCAACATTTTGAAAATTAGCTGCCCTCCATCCTTGAAGCTGTTCCAAGTTTTTATAAGAATGCGCGCAAACCAAGGCGAGAGCCACATGTTGAACATCATCCGCCCTGCATGCTTGAAGCCGCCGCAAACTTTTGAGACGAATGTGCACGGTGCTAGGGCAAGAGCCACGTGTTGAAAGCCAACCGCCCTCCACCTTTGGAACTCTTGCAGGCTTTTGAACCGAATCCGTGCGGCGCTGAAGCGAAAACCATATGTTGAAGAGGACGCGCTCTCCAGCCTAGAAGCCGTTGCAAAGTTCAAGCTTCAGGATCACAAGCGGTGAGAAAGTCTCGTGCGAAGCGCCTGGCCCGCCCTACAGTCGGGGGCTTGACCTAAGGAACCCAAAATAAGGAACGAGGCCCCTTTTTTCCATGAGCTAAACCTCGATTTCCGATCGAAAACATAAGGAAAACCTGAGGCAAGCTGCGAAACACTTCAGGAACGCGGAGCCCCTCCCCAACGAAAAGGGTTCCTTCTTCAGGGCCCCGACTGTACGCCGACACGCCTGGGCGAGCCACAGGCCAGGGCGGTTCAGGAGGGAAACGGTTTGAGGGAGGAAGAGGGGGGGGGGACGGAGGAAGAGGGAGGAGGAAGGGAGGAGGGAGGAGGGAGGAAGGGAAGGAGGAAGGGGGAGGAAGAGGGAGGAAGGAGGGAGGAAGGAGGGCGGGGGGAGGGCGGAGAGAGGATAGAGGAGGGAGGGAGGAGGGAGGGAGGAGGGAGAGGGAGGAGGGAGGGAGGAGCGAGGGCGGAGGACGGAAGAGAGGATAGAGGAGGGAGGGGAGATGAGGAGGAGTGGGAGGGGGTTACGGAGGGTGGCGGAGGAGAGTGAGGGAGGAAGGGGAAGACCAGAAGACTTCCGATCTGCAGCATCGATGCCACTGTAGACCCTCCCGTCCCAAATCCCCTCCTCAGCTGTCCTTGCAAACATTGAGTTTCAATGCGAACAATGCCCCCTGTGAAGAGGACTGCCCCATTGACCTGCTATGCAGGCGGGAGCTCCGTTCTGAACGAAATTGCCTTCAGTCCTTCGAGCAGGATGCGACAAAGTGGAATCTTAAAATGCAAGGAAGCGTCCAAAGACAACACAATGTCTTATGAATCACCGTACACGCATGTAAGCGTTGCACTACATGAAACTTATGGTGGTACATGCTGAGGGAGGTGTAGAGAAGAACTCAATGTGAAGATGAACAACACTCAAATCGTGCATCTGTTGCACACCTTTACAAGTGTGGTTATGCAAATGGAAGAGGTGCCAAGCGAGATCTGCGTTTTGACAAAAGATAACCATGCATGACTGTAACTGCCAAATGTGTGCAACATATGCGCAATGCCACGCCGAGAACCCCCCGAAATTCGAAACGGAACCGCGGTCCATCCGTGAACCTGTTGAATCTCGTGCTATGTCTGGGACGGGCGTGCGCGGCGCCGAAGCGGTTCCGAATTTGAAGACGATTCGCCCTCGGTCCGTGTACCTGCTGATTTTCGAGACGAGTGGGCCCGACGCCGAGGCGAATGTGTCTCTTCTCCCAGCAGCTCGCGTGGGCACCGTTTCTGGATGGGCTGCTGGGAATACGTTAAGCGTTAAGAAGGTGTAGCAACGACTCAGATGAAGGGCGACCCGCCGTTCCTCCATACGTGGCTCTCGCCTGAACGCCGAGCGCCTTCGTCTTGAAAGTTCCCGGGAGTGACCTCTAACGGAGGGCAGCCTGCTCTGAACGTGCGGTTCTCGCCCCATGCCGCGCACAGGCTGCCAGCAGTTGCACGTACGGGGAGCTGCTGGTTTCCTTAATATGGCACTCGCCCTAGCGTCGCGCATGCTCGCCCCAACGACTCATTCGTCAAAAAGTCGGGCTCGCGCTCGGGTCTCCATCTGAGCTTGCCACCAGAAGTGGCAAGCACTACAGCGGTCACAAAGACGGAAGAGCGGTTCCTCTTCGACATTGGCTCTCGCTTGAGGCTCCAGGCTGGCAGACTGCAAGCTGAAGACTGTGCAGACATATCGGGAGCGGCCAAGAGGGGGGTGTCCAAGAGGGGGGGTGCAAATCAGGACCGGCGGCATGTGTGCGGCCCAGCGGGGGAGCCAAGGACAGAATGAAATCAGAAGGGGCGCCATGAAATCTGGGGAAAAATCATGGCCCCCGCCATGATATCCACTAAAACAGGGCTAGGATCGGGATAAATCGCTCCAGAGCGTTCCGGAGCGCTCTCAGAGCGTTCCGGAACGCTCTGGAGCGGCCGCGGCGCCCAATACACCCTCCAAACCCGCCGATCCTCAGAGATTTCGAGTTATCCCGATCCGATTTTGTCCCGCCATGAGATCCCCCCCCCCCTGCCGTTTCTGCCGTTTCTCGCTCAGCCAGCGTCTCCTCATGCGCCCGCGGCGCGGAGCGCGCCGCAGCAGCCCACGAGGGCCGTGCGGGCACTCAGACGGCGGCCCTTGGAACCCGACCCCGAGGAGGAGAGAGAGGACCAGGGACCAGTAAATACCTCGGAGGAGGGGAGAGCACCCCCCCCCCTCCAGTCATCACCCCCCTCTCTTCTCCGCCCCCGAACACAGCACGGACACGGAGGGGTGGATCCTTCTCAACATGGGGGCTCTCGCCCGAGCGGCAGGCCAACGGGTGCTCACATCTTAGAGGGGGCTCCTGAGTAATAATAATAATAATGATAATAATAATAATACGAATAAGAATAATAATAATGATAATAATAATAATAATAATAATAATAACAAGAAGAAGAACAATAATAAAAATAAGAATAATAATAATAATAAGAGGAATGATAATAATAAGAAGAAAAATAATAAGAAGAATACTAATAACAATACTACTAATAATAGTAATAACCCTTTGCCCGACCCCTGCAACCAGCCCCTTCCTTCTTGTTGGGCCTCTGGACCCCAAAAGGGATCTGCTGGGCGCTGCTTCACGGGAGGCGATAAAAGGGGGGAGCGAAGCAACGTGCACCCTTCGTGCCCCTTTTGGGCCCCCGAGGGCCTCTGTAAGGCACGAGGTGCACCTGTCTCCACCCCTCCAAGTATCGCATCTCCATTGCGTGACGCCCGAATCTGGAGGCCTTCGGGGGCCTCCGGCCAGGAACATGGGGACCCCCGAAGACGTCCGCGACCCCTCGACAGAGGCCAGGCCATATCGAAGATCGCTCACGTGCCGCATCGCGACGCGAGAGCGTGCTTTTATTCCATGCGAATCGGCAGTCACGGCGGTCTTGATTTGCATGGTGCTGCAATTCCTGGAAGTCTGCCCAACTGCTGTGAAGGCGGGGGGGAGCTAGACGCAACGCTAGCGCTCGGTGAGACTTGCGAACCCCTCTTGCAAGGGGGCCGTACACGGTGAAACCTGCCGGGACGCATGCTCGAGACACGCGTTCCTTGGACGCCCATTGGCAGACTGCTGCTGGAGCGGATGATCGGCCAATTTCCTCCCCTGGGGATCAGGACGGCCCTGACGAGCGCGGAGACCCTCAGGCCGCTGCGTGCTTGAGACGCGCGGGTGGGCTCCGCTCCTCATGAGCTGAGCGGGCACTCCGTCTGGGACACGACCGCGGAGAGGTTCGCGGCCACCCTCCTCGGCGGCGCGCAGAGGATAACAAAGCGTATGTGTTTGTGTGTGTGTGTTTGTGTGTGTGTGTGTTTGTGTGTGTGTGTGTGTGTCCGTGTGTGTGTGTGTGAATGTGTGGAGGAGGGGCTTCCGAGATTTGTTAGTTGTCGGAGTTGTTTCTCTCAGAAGGCAAGGCCTCGAGGGCTCGGTGGTTTCTTCGGAGAAGGCGGGGCGGGGAGAGCTTCTCAGAAGCCCATCCGCCCGCTTCTTCCCATAGGGCCGCTGGGCAGTAACTAAACTTGGCCAGGAAGAATTCGGCCAGGCTAGCTGAATTTGCCCAAGCTGAACTCGGTTACTCAGGGATGATCTCGGCCAGCTAAACTCGGCTGAGCTGAACTTGGGCGGCAGAGCTCGTGCAGGCTGAATTCGGCCTTGGCCGAGCTCAGCATGGCCGAGCTCAGCTGGCCGGGTTCAGCATTGCCGGGTTTCGCCTGGCCGAATCTTTCCCTCGTAAGCTGGTCCCCTCCCCCCCCCGCCTCTCGCCCCGCCACTTTTGCGTGCCGATCGCCTCCAGCGCTCAACGCAGGCGCTCATCTCCCGCTGCACCTTGGGCAGGGACCGACCGTCCCGACATTCTTGCAGGCCTACCACGACACGTTCGTAGAAAAAATGAAATGAATGTTATACTAACAAAGCAATGTTCTTAGAACACGAACCCGATGTGTTAGAACAAGACGGCCTCAACCAAACATGGTCTGAGACCATCTCGTGCCAACCATAAAACGACTCTTAGAGGATTCGCTGGTGGGCCTAACTAAGCTGGGACGCTTCGCCACTGCTGGAGCACCTGCGAGGACTGGTTGCAGCGGCGGCCTGCGAGGAAGCTGCTCGCCTTCTTGGCCAGGACGCAGTGCGCGAAGGCCGCGGTGTCCCGCATGCCCTTGTCCTCGTGCAGTTCCGCGGCCCTCGCCGCCTGCTCGGCCATGCGGCGGAGCGGCTCCTCTCGTGGATGGGGCCGACGAAGACGAGCTCATGACAGGGACAACACCGGACGAGGACACCTCGGGGATCGGGCGCCGCGGCTTTCTCGGAGCGCTCCGGGACGCTCTGCGAGAGCTCCAGAGAGCGCTCTGGGACGACCTGCAGTCGGACCTGGGACAGAATACACCCTGCGAAATGCTTAGGAAATCATGGGTTAAGAAATTCCTAGTCTCAGAATTTGAATAACAAACCCCGAACTTCGATTAAAATCGTAGGATTTACATTGAAGCATTCAGAATAATCGAGACTCTGGCCGAAACCTTAAGTTTTCTTAAGCATCGCCTAGGGTGTAACACCCCTCAAGAACAGGAGGCCCTCCGCCGCCCAAACTGCATAACCTTCGAGGGGAGTTACCCTCCCACAGGATGCACAGTACAGCATCCAACAGGCACGAAGAACGGTAGGGCACCGCCCCCGAACCGACCTCGATCTTGTACCTCGGTCCGACCGTGCCCTCTTCGGGCGGGCGGCATTGGGGTTGACCCGAAGGAGGGGTGGAGAAAAGGGCCCCTTCTGGAGGGGTTGACCCGAAGGAGGGGTTGACCCGAAGGAGGGGTTGACCCAGAAGGGGCCCCAAAGGGCCCCTTCTGGAGCCAGCTGGTGCCCCAAAGGGGCCCCAAAGGTAGGGGGCAAACAAACCTACCTCGCTTCTGCTTCTGACCACCCTCGCTTCCGAGAGATGCCAAGCGATGCCAAACTGCGGCCTGTACTGGTCAGGCCGCCTGACGAGGAGGCGCGTGGTATGACTTGGTCTTGCCTGGAAGCGAAACCGGGGTACTCCAGATTTCGTAATAACAGGGAGGGGGTCTGGACCATCCAAGACAAGCCATTCCAGACCCCCCCCCGTGGGAGAATCCTCCAGAACATCGTCCCCAGACCCCCCCAGGCCCTCCAAGATAGCCTGGAGGAGACCCCCACCCGAAAGCGGGGTAGGTAATTCATTAGGTCTCCGGGAGGAGGACGAGGAGGAGGAGGAGGAAGAGGAGGAAGAGGGAGGGCGAAGGAGGAGGAGGAGGACGACGAAGAAGATGGAGGAGGAGGAGGAGGAGGAGATGGAGGAGGAGGAGGAGGTAATCCACGCCCTGAATTTGGGTCACCCCCCAGTGCCACCCGCCCGCCCTCGCCCGGACCCCCACGGCCGACCCCGGCCACCGCCCCCGCCCGGGCCAGCCAGAGCCGCGCCGCCCACCGGAGCCAGCCGCGCAGCAGTTGGGCGCGTGTATTCCCTCAGCTCTGTAGGGGGGGTGGAATTCAACACCGAATGGTCGACAGCCTTTGTGACGCAACTCGTTTTCATCACTCCAACTCTTAACTTCAACTTGTTTTGGTAACTCGTTTCTGGGAGTTAACTCCCAGAGTTAGCTCTTGAAGTTAAGTAGGCTTTTTGTTTTTTGTATGGTTTAAATCATATGAAACAAATGTGTGCCTGAACTTAAGTGGGACATTCGTCTTGCATCGTACCATTCGGATCGTGGCCTGCCGAACCCACTGCCAATCATCGAACCTGAGTGAATCAAAACTGGAGAAGCAAGCGTGCGCGGGGATCCATTTCCCGCATGACAATGCCAAATGATGACATGAGGGATGGAGGTGCGAGGGTGAAGGTGGGGTTAGGAAGAACGTCGTGAAGCGGACGACCAATGAGGTCGTGAGGGGTACGACTAATGACGTCGCGAGGGGCACGAGCCATGACGGCGCGAAAGGCTGAGGTAGAGAGAACGTGGGCAGGATATCAGCACGGGGGCAGAAGAATAATGAGAGGAAAGCAGGGGGAGGGTTGAGAAGCAGGGGCAGGGAGGGATCAAGATCTGACGGAGCAGCCTCTCCCCACGCCTGTCCCACGCCGCCTGTCTCCAGGCCGCTTGTGTCCACGCCGCTGGATTACAGTCTCGTAATCCGCGGCCCCGCACGCCAGCTGCTGGCTGGCCCCTACTAGCTTCTGGTTTGTCCTCATCATTCCTCCTTCCCATTCCTCCTCTTCCCGCTCCTCCTCCTCCTCCTCCTCCCGCTCCTCTTCCTCCTCCTCCTCCTCCTCCTCCTGCTCCTCCTCCTCCTCCTCCTTATCCTCCTCCTCCTCCTCCGCCTCCTCCTCCTCCTCCTCCTCCTCCTCATCCTCCTCCTCCTCCGTCCTCCCTCCCATTATGTCCATCCCTCCTGCCTTCTACTTTGCGCGCCCCCTCCCACGCATCCCAACCCCTTCCCTCCGACCCCGAACCAGCCCTACCAAATTCCACCGTCTCCCCCATCCTCCATCTCTTTCCTATCCAATATTCCAGCACCTACCCTCCAATCCGTCTTAATTCCAATCCCCTCATCCCCCCTCCCTCCACCCAGCCCCCATAAACTGGGGCGAAACTCAACGCTGCCTCTTGCAGCGCTTGAGCCCCACCTGCTTCGGGCCTGCGTCGGAGCCAGCGTCGCGCTTCAGCGACGTGCCCTTGAACTTGGTGGCGCTGGTCACGTCGGAAGGCGCCTCAGCCGCAGCCTTCGGCGCAGGCGTCGCTGCGACGCCGCTGCCAGCGGAGCCGCTCGCCGCGGACTGGGCGCTCTCTCCGACGTGCTCGATGGTGAACGATGCCATCGCCAGCAACTCGTCCCAGAAGTTATTCGGGATCTCGGGGTACTTCGATGGCGGATGCTTCTCGATGAACGCCTTTGCGCTCTCTGGCCCCTTGGGATTGTTCTCCAGGCTCGCCAAGAGCGAGCAACCTTTGATGACGACGGAGAGCAAAGATGCTTTCGCCTCCAGGTGGCATCAATGAAGGATGCAGTGCTTTCGATGCGCAGGTCGATTCGGAGCCCCACCCCCCCTCTCTGGCCTCGAAGGGCAGATCTGGTTGAGGCTCCGAACCGACGCGCGCGCCCAAAGCTCGGCATTCCCCTTTGAGCCCCGAGTGACCAAGCAAGCCAGAGCCAGCGCCACCGATGAAGACGTGATGTCATGCTCCTGGATGCTGGGCGTGATGCCCACGTCGGCGACGGCGACGTTGACGGTGGCGAGCTTCTGGTGCAGGGCGTTGTGGGAGGCAGCCACCCCCCCCTGCTTGTTGTAGAACAACTTCGTCGCCAGGGGCAAGTTCAACTTGCCAGTGGTGTCGAACGCCGCTTTCCAGTCCAAACACTCCTTGCTGCAAGCGTCGGTGTACTTCAGGATGCCACTGTCCACGATCTGGAGAAACCGCTTCTGGCACTTCAAGCTGAAGTGGCCCACCGAGAGAGCCCACTGCTTGGCCCCGCTAAGCCCCACGGGCGTGACCCAGCCAGCCTTCTCGAGCTCCAGAGCAGGCTTGGAGTGCAGCTGGCAGTCGAGCCGCACGAGGCAAGCGGAGACAAGCTTCAGCAGCTGCACGAGCGGACCGACCACCACGCCCTCTGAAATGTCATCATTGTAGCCGCTGGCCTTGAACAACATGCCATTCACCTTGACGATGCATCCAACCATATCCTTCATGGCGTTCACGATTGAGATATATGCAAGGGCGTGGTGCACAGGAACGTTGTCGTCGTCTGGTGTCGATGCGTTTGTCACGCCGTCAACTTTCACGTGCGTCGCGCCGCTGGCCTCCACGAACTTCCGAAGATCCTCATATGCAACGTTGTGGCCAGCGGTAGCGAAGACATCCAACCCCAGCGTGCCTGGCAGCTCACCTTTCAAACAGTCTGGAATACAAACAGCAACATCATCAAGGCCACGCGTCAGGAGCACAACTGTCGAGTAGTCCTGTGCTGCGAGGACCGCAGCCTCGTGGACGTCGCCCACGGAGAACGGCAACGTGGTCCCAGCGGCCTTGAGCTTCTGGGTGAAGAACGACTGCTTGCACGTCTCGAGAACGTGTGCCCCTGCAAAAGCGGGGGGTCACGGGTACAAAAAAATGCTTTTTCTCCATTTCTCCTCTCTCTTAGTCTCCTCATTCCTTCCTCCTTGTCTTCCTTCCTCTCTCCTCCTCGTCCTCCCGCCATCCTCTCATGCCAAGTCGTTGCTTTCTCCATTGCAGTCGGCGCCATTCGTCGTCCTCACCCGTGTCCCCTAAGTTAGAGGGCCCCGATCGTCGTATCCTCATCATCGTGTTCTGCGCCCTCATCCCACTCACCCACATCCCAACCATGTTCATCAGCATCATCGGCATCATCAGTCATCAGTGCTGTTGCCGTCAACGCCGTCAGCATCGATACCGCCAGCGGCACGATCGTTATCGCTGCCATCGCCGCCCTCCTCCTCCTCCCTCTCCTCCTCCTCCTCCTTCTCCTCCTTCTTCTCCTCCTCCTTCTCCTCCTCCTCCTCCTCATCCTCCTCCTCCTGGACTCCTCCTCCTCCTCTCCCTTATCCTGTCCTCCCTCCTCCTCATCCCTCCTACTCCTCCTCCTCCTCCTCGTCCGCCCTCCCTCCTCCTCCTCCTCCTCCTCCTTCTCCTCCTTCCAGCCTCCTGTTCCCCTGGCTCAAGGACCCCTGGGTTTTGTGCCCGTCGGACTCCTTGGTTCCCTGCAACCAAGAGTCCTTTGTGTTCCGGAGCCAGGGACCCTCTGTGTTCTGGAGCCAAGGACACTCGAACTACGCTGCGGTCAAACACCCTGGGGGTTTGCGATGTCCCCCCTAACCCACGCCATCCCTCAGCAGCATGAAGGCCCTGACGGTGCTGGCGGGCAACTCGTCGATGGAGCAGAAGCTCTTGCACTCCCAGCTCAGCTTCTCGATGTCCGACAGGTGCGTCGACAGCCTCGTGAACTCGATGAACGCTTCGGAAGACGGAGCAAGCTGCACTTTCGCGAAGGCGTTCACGGCAACGTCGATGCAGTAGACGGCGTACTTGATCATGTCATTGATGCTCGACGTGGTTGCCGTGTGACATATATCGAACTTCAGGGTGGTCATCTCATCCTCATCGAACTGGTTCATGGCGAACTGCCCTGCACGCGTCACGATCATCCGAAGACACTGTGCCCAGTGAGTGTTGACTTCTA